TCGCCGTCGTACAATATCCGACTTTGTTGAAGGTTAAGGCCTCAATTTCAGCACTTTCGAAGACTTCTCTTGCTTTCCTTTCCACGTTTAGGCCGTTCTGTACTCAGTTATCACTACGAGTCGCCCTTATCACCAGTTTTATCCCGGGGTTTGCCTCTAACGCCATGACGAACTCACTCTAGGGAGCATTCAATGAACTCTTATTAATATAACTTTTATTAATAATTAATTTAACTCAATATCATTGCTATCTCTGGTTGGATAGTCGTGTATTGATTCAGCATGCATACCAGTGGCTTTTCAGAGCAGCAGCTGAAATTCAATTTTTTACTGTGTTAGCGTCCACGAATCCAAATCGAGGAGAAGCCCGCTATGTCAATATAAAAACTTGGAAGGAACATATAAATACGGGGGAAGAAAAGCGGTCATATCCTCTGGCGAGTCTTTCATTCTTAACAATCTTATCATCGCTATAAATCTTCATTTTTTCAGAATGAGTGCTCTTGTATTCGCTCTACTTTTGACGGCGTGCGTTAACGCTAACTCCCCCCTAGAAAGGAGATATGAACCAGTTCAAGAACTGAAGGTAAGCAAATCCTAAAATGAAAAACATTCGCAAATGACCTATTAATCTCAAATGTCTATCACATGGTTTCTTCACCTTTTCTTTCGCCTTGTCCCTTACGTGTCCTCTACAGGTCAGTGCAATGCTAATTAGCTTAAGGTGTTACTTGTTCTACTCTGAGTTATACTAGCACTGTTGTGTTCATCGATAACGCATCTCAAAGGCAAAATTCAGGATAAATAGGCGTAGAAGGCGCGGACTTATGAAGTTAGAGGTGGGAGGTGGTCTGGAAAAGAGAAGGAAAGCAAACGAAACCACCGATTACGCCCCGCACAGAGACCTCCCCTATTTCAGCCGCATTCCACCTTGGGATAGAGAAGGGCGCGTTGGACGAGTTTCACGAACCTAACTCTAGTTGCTCCAGTGCCAATGACATTGGGTCGCAATGGGACCGCTGCCTCAAATGCGCCCGCGCTTTTCAAGCAGCGCCACGTGGCAACCGACAGTGGATGAAGGGGGTTGCGGACAAAGGTCCGATAACAAATGATAAGGAACGATAAGAGGGCGTCTGAATGCAAACGTCTTCAACTTCGTTGCCATTATCACTAGCAAATAATCAGGGTGGCGCGGTTCTGACGTATGATGAAAGGGAGTGATAATGAGCAAAAACCGTACTGATAAGAGTAGCGACAATTGAGTGTGCACTCAGTTAGACTAAACCAGGTTCTTAGCATGTAAATATGCCATTCCTAACTTTTCATCAGAGGAAGAAAAGGAATTTGAGCCGCTAAACTATCTGGACTTGGATCAATAGCGAATCTTCATTCGAGTTGAGTTGAATGCTGATTATTGTTCGTATTTCACTCCCACACCGATACTCGTAGTGTAAATTCTATAGGTCCTAAATCATCGAGCTCGATATCAATGCTAAATGTTTACAAAGTCATGATAAGTACTATTTTTGTTCCGCATGCTACTGCGCGCACCACGCGATGAGCTTCAGCGAAACTGGACGACCTTTGAATTCATCTTACACATCTTCACGAATATCTTCCTAATGTTTCTCAGCCACGTGATCTAATATTTCGCAGATGTTTAGTCTCACTGAATCCCACTATGTGATGCGCGGTTATGTGCGGGACTGGAGTGGTAAATAGTAAGCTAATAAGTGTTCTAGATGTTCAAAAGAGAAGCTGCCGATGAAGTTGAACCAAAGGAAGACTCGATCGAAGAAGTTAATATAAAAAGCGGAGTTGCGGAAAACCTGTTCCAGGGAGATATCCTCCTAACAAAGTTTGCTAGTTTTGCTTTTTCGAAATTTTTAAGCGAGAGGTTGCACGTGCTATATTCAGGGAACAAAAAGAAAAAATTGCATTGGATGTCGAGAAAACTCGTGCAAAAAGGCAAGCCTTCAACGATAAAGGAACTTGGCCTGCAAGAAAATGGACAAATGGAGTCACATTCATACTCGCCGGTTATTTAGGTTAGTACTTCTACGTTCTACTACTCATATGATTGATTTATAGCTTCCTCGCAAGAGCGCAAAAGACATTAAACAAAGGTTTTCTACTCACAGACGAGAGAACCAAGACTGTCCTTCAAGAAAGCAGCGAAGCTATGGATGGAGGACACGTGCATCAACATCACTGAATTCCAGTGGCCCCTTCGAAGGGGGTCAGACCACGTGAGGGTTTTTCCCTAACAAACGATGCGGGGTTGTTAGCCAACCCGTAAATTTTGCAAACGCGATAACTGGCGTTTGCTTTCTGATTCGCTTTCATGCCTTCTGATTGTTCTTATCACATTCCTGCCAGGGTCAACCGTCCGTTGGACAAATTCCAACGGGGTCGTATTCGCAGGAGTCAACGTTGCAGTACGAAGAAGGTTTTTGGGTGTAGATGACGAGAGGTGGTTTTCGCTATAAGGAACCTAATGTGTGTTGTGATGAAGCTCGCAGCTGTTGGCTCTTGCTGGGACCATCGAACGATTAGAATCAAGACGTTAGTTCTCGCGACAGTAGGGTAAAACTTTCGAGTGCTTCTTCAACTATTAAGCACAAACGAGTGCATGGCGCACATCAGAGCAGAAGAGTCTACTGCGAAAGTATCCATATTTGACTGCGCACGTACACAAATATAATTCTAGAGGTGAACCAATGCCTTCAAACTGGACCTAAGTTAATAAAAGAGTGACCTCTTTGGTAGATTGACTGCTAAAGGGCTACAAGAAAAGTTTGGGAACAAAAATATTTGCCTGTCGGCAACTTCTTGAAATGGGTTTAGCATCTGTAATGAAGCACAGAAGCTCGTGCGATGTCACGGTATCATAATTCCCGATAAAATTGAGTTTGAAGAGAGTTGTCAGTGTTTAAGTGTTGAAAACCCGTGTTTTCAGGAGAGTAGCGAAAATTCATGAAAAAAAAACGGTCCAACGGGGCGATTTTTTGACTCCTTCAACTTTGGAAAGAGAAAAAGTATTCGTTGGAAAGCTCTAACCTTCTACTTCCAATCCAGGGGACAAGAACTGCAAAAAGTTCAATATGAAGAAAGTTATAACAATTTAAAGCCAAAAAACCAGCGCTCTGCAAAAAATCGGTCCGCGATTTCCCAAAAACGGTCCAACGGGGCGATTTTTTGACTCCTTCAACTTTGAAAGGAGTTCAAGTATTCGTTAGAAAGCTCTAACCTTCTTCTTCAACCCAGGGGGACAAGAATCGCAGAAGGTGGAATTTGAAGAAAGTTATAGCCATTGAAAGCCAAAAAACCTGGTCTTGCAAAAAAAAACGGTCCAACGGGGCGATTTTTTGAAGGAAAGAGTTTTGCAAAAGCTTGAGCACTTTTTGGAAAGGGGAACAGTCTGGGCTTCCCAATTTTCGGCTGTCCTACTTCTGCAGAACCCAAGCTTCTGAGACCACTGTTCGTTCGTTACTCTGCAGCACCATGTAGTCATTTCCTCTTCCTCACTATTAGAGCTGATTCAATCATTATAATGATTTTCCAAGCGAGATGCTCGTCAATGGAGCGCTACTGGGTGAACATTGTGTTGTGTAAAAAACGACCAATTGGTAGCAAGTTTATTTTCTTGCTTTAGCCAAGGACTTTCTCCTGGTACTACTAGGCGGAGATGAAGGATGTCAATCATATGTTGGTAGAAAGGAGGACCCTGGTCCGCAGGAACTATATCTCGGCAAGGGCTGTCAAACGGTATGTCTTGAAAAGGAGTCCGTGTTAGACCACGTGCTCCAAGTAAGACGAGTTCAGCGAAAAAAGAAACCGTGCACATTTCTACGATTTAAAAGAAAACAGCATTAAACCGTAGTTTCATGCTATTTATGTCTGCTTCAGTTCGGGCACGCTGCCCACGAGATTGGTCACGCACTCGGATTGTTTCATACCCATACTAGGTATGACCGTGATAAATTCATTGTGGTTAATAACGAAAATATAAAGGTAAGGCTACTGAATGGTAATGAATCATTGTATGGTATGAACGCGGGCTACCTTCAGCATGATTGGCAAAACCAGTTCGAACCGCAGACGGAGGAAACCAATAATAACTACAATTTGACGTATGACTACGGTAGCATAATGCATTACGCAGCCAAAAGGTAAGGTCCTTATTGGGAAATACCTGTGCAAGGAAAAATTTTTCTTTTTTAGCGTCGTCGCTGTCAACGGAAGATAAACCTGTAATGCAAGCCATTGATGGGAACTATACGGAGGCCTTGGGATCTGATATTATTTCATTTTATGATCTGCTCATGGTGAACACGCTCTATAATTGCATTGGTAAGAATAAGATATATTGAAAGGCTATACTATCTTCGCAATAAGTCCCCATGAGAGGTAGGATTCCAGACGCATGCGAAGATAAATCACAATGTCATAATGATGGATTTCCACATCCGCGTGATTGCTCAAAATGCATATGCCCAAGTGGATACGGTGGACCACTCTGCGAAACAAGGGTGACACGTGTTTTGTAGCTTCACCTCAAATCACTTCATGAATTTATTTTAGCCCGAAGGTTGCGGTGGAGAGGTGGATGCAAAAGAAGACTGGGAAACCCTCGAATATAAGGTAAACGACAGCAATGCCGACGAAGAGCGAGACGGTTTCAAGAGATGTATTTATTGGATCAAGGTTGGTTGTTTTTAGGCAAAGTAAAACTGTTCAGATCATGAAGTCATCTTGTGCATCTTAAGGCACCAAGCGATAAGAACGTAGAGGTGGAGATTCTGGATCTTCCTTCTCTATATGTCGACCATGGATGCAAATATTCTGGCCTTGAAATCAAAGCGAATTCCGATAAAAGACTCACTGGTTACAGGTATAACAAAAAGTTACGACAATATGAGAATTCAAAATAGTTGTTTACGGATTCAGGACCTTCTATGAATCTTTTTCAGGTTCTGTGCAAAAGAGGATCTCAACAAGAAACTCGTGTCGAATTCCAGCCTTGTCCCTGTGATAACGTATACCCGTCATAATAATGTAAATACAAAGCTTAGGTATCGTTACGTTTGAAGAAGTGATGGACGTCACAAGCGAATAAAAGTTTTGAGAAACTTGTGAAAGCGTGATGCCAAGCCCTATCGACGGATTTTATCGACTTCAAGTAGAGCGCAGATTTCCAAATCCCCCAATCAGAATGCAGTGGATTACCCAATGTGGTCGACATGAAGCTGAAGAAGTGTGCGGAACAGCTTAATTTGAATGAAAAGCGAAAAAGTTCCTTTAAAATGTGTGATGATTAGATTAGACAGAAATCGTACCTCGCCCGCATGAGTTTTTCAGATGATATTCGAAGAAAGTCATGTGGGCAAAGGTGGATTTTTGTCGAGCCCGTCAGGAGGAGATTGCCAAGTTCTTATGCACTCATATCCGATAAAAATAACAATGTTGATTAAGATGCATTAAACTATGCTGTAACTGCTTCGCCCTTTCCGTTAAGAACTGTACCACTAAAATTCTGTCCTCGTAGTTATGCTTCCCACCCTTGTAGTTACCGGTAATGTGGAGTGAGTACAGTGTGCTAACAAATTCGCAAGTGGCTTGGGAGATTCGCGTTCTGACAGTGAAAGGTCAACCTGCTCCAAATTCGATCCCTCTGAGTTGCTGACATAATACAAAAGAGGCTTTGTGCTCAAAAGCGACACCCAATAATACTAGGACAAGCGCCCACGGCTTGACGGCGACGTCTTTGAGATAAAAGCAGGTATAGCGGAGTCTGCTTATTCTGAGGTCGTTCGATACCACCTTCGGCGAAAAGTTATGAAAAATTGAAGCTTCACGTGCTGACATTCTTTGCAGCTCCGCTGGGTAGCCCTAACCTAGTGAACAACCATCTGCTCTCTAGTCCATTTCCGAAAAGTAATCTTACACCTCCTCTCGTCAGTGACCCAGATGAAATTTTATCTTGCTCACTGACGAGAGCAGGCGCGGGGGGAATGTTGGACTCGCAGATCCTGAAGAGGACGGTTTTAACAAAACCAATCCCCTTGATGTATTATGTATATGTTATGTATAAAAAGACTGTATAAAAAGAAAGAAGAAAGAAGAAATAAAGAAAAGACGAAGAAAAGATTCAGTTTTTTCTTCATACAGAACTGTGAAATTCTACAAGAAACGCATCAAACATCCATCCGCGTGTTGGCGTCATGCTGCAAATAATGGTAGTGAATACTGTTTTAGACAATTATTGCAGAGGAATCAAAAAAATTATAACTGTAAACAGCCGAGGTGGCTCAGAAACTGTGCCGACCCAATATTATCACTTATCGGGGATGCTGTTCAGGACGTAAAGCAATGTCCCTCCAAAAGCTCCTTTTTGTGTGGGCTCAATTGGAACATAGCGGCTGGCACAGCTTCGATCCCAAAAGTTAAAAAAAATCAAGAAAAACAATGAAGATGTTTTTCTGTGAGGAAAGAATTTTTGACTACGAAGGATCTGCGTTCTGCCTTGATTGGGCTGGGTATGTTTTGTTGCATGAGCACTTGAATTTTAGAAAGTCGTCGTTGACTGCATAGAAATGATTAGACCGCCTAGATTCGACTTTTCTTGTTGGCAAGTTTTCCCATTTGTGCGGATCAACTTTGAGCCGCCTTTTAGCCGGTGTCAGACTCTGCGGATCGAGCGATTCGCTAGCTATTTGGGGAGTGCGAGCGCTGGGCCAGCGAATCGAACTAGATGACACGCGTACTTCTATTCTAGGTTTATTGTGTTTACTCCATGGAAGAAACCCTAGCTTAGCTACAAACATAGTAACTCGTGAAATCACGTATATTCTTAATTTAGGAGGAGGATTTTCGAACCGCACGAAATTTTAAGTCTGATTAATTTTTCGTTCCCATTTTCTCTTCATGAATGTAAAGGTTAAAAGACTAGTAGAAGTAAATAGGTGTCCTAAGAGATGATAACATATGTGTTTTTGTTAAAATGATTGAAGTGAAATAGCTTTTGAGGTCAATTGCAGCTAATTCTGACAATTTTTGCATTTTCATTGTTATTTCAAGTCTTTGTATCGAAATTCCATTACTATACCCCTTGCAAGCTTTTACTCACTTGAAGTCACTGTTTCAATTTTGCATCACCCATGTTTTATGTATTTAGCACTCAAAATCCTTTAATTAGCGCGCTCGCAAAATCGG